GTGAAAGATAAATACACAAACTTAATTTGGCCAATTTAAAAACATGTCCCTTTATTCTCCCAGCGTCAAATTGGTGTAACAACCCCACCCAGTGGCCAGAGGTGTCTTACCCAGACATTTAATTGTACCTCGTCGAGTCACCAGGTAAGCTTTTTAAGGTTTTTAAAGTAAAAAAAAAACTTAATGTATATATTATGAATTTATGATGATGATGGCAGGTAGCCTAGCTGGGCTAGTTGATAACGGGCATAAAAAAATGTATCTTTCATGCTCTATGGCAGGCAGGGTGGACATATAATTACTTGACATGTTTTATATAAGTGATTTCTTAAGTTATTTACGCCTGTCGGCTGTGTACGGACGTTGGGTTTTGCCGTTATTTTGTATTGAAGTCTATGGGGAGTCTAGTTTGTTTCCCCCAAAAGGGGGCGGGGACAAAATTGACAGTTAAGTTCCCGGATGTGCCGGTTGTGCGTATGCTGCTTGCACGCAGTCATCTGTGCTTACTGAGACTTACTGTTGCAAACAGCTGTATGATACGCAAAACAATTATTTCTTGCTTATCATTGACCAGCTGATTTGTTTATCTGTCAGAGAGCTGTGTGAGTGTCGAACCAGCATCTAAAACGCAGTGAAAGTAGCAGTAGCATCTGAACAGGTGGTCTCTCACCTGAGCCAGGAGAAGATTAATGACTTCCTCCTCGTTCTCAGACATCTCCTCCTTTGATACGTCTTCTTTAGACAGGCTGGCGATTTCCTGTGCGATTTTAGTCTCGCACTCCTGCAGATTCAGAAGGACAGAGAAATGAGACATCAAGACGCTTCTGGAAGTGCGGCATGCTAAATAATGTGGTGTAAATTAAAGTTTATAGTTGTAAATATTTGTTTTTAGTGGCCAGTTTCTGGAACTACAATAAAGTTTGTTGTGATCTGTTCATTCATATACACTAACATTCAAAAGTTTGGGGTCGGTAAGATTTGTTCATGTTTTTGAAAGTCTATTATGCTCACCAAGACTCACATTTATGTGATCGAAAATACAGAAAAAAAACATGAATTTTCAGCATCATTACTCCAGTCTTCAGTGTCACATGATCCTTCATTCTAATATGCTGATATGCTGCTCAAGAAACATTTCTGATTATTATTAATTTTTTAAAACAGTTGTGCTGCTTCATATTTTTGTGGACACCGTAATCTTTGATGAATAGAAAGTTCAAAAGAACAGCATTTAATTGACATAGAAACATTTGGCAACACTATAAATGTCTTTAGTGTCACTTTTGATCAATTTAATGCATCTTTGCTGAATAAAAGTATTCATTTAATTTCTTTAAAAATTTAAATAAAAACCTCTACTGATCCCAAACTTTTGGATGGTAGTGTAGTATAGCGCACTACTCTCAATCTTTCTCTTTTAAACATTATTTTTATGACTGATTTTTCATATAAACGTATTAAAGAAATATAGCAGAAAATAAAAACAGAACAGAACAAGCTGTACACATCGTTTACATTACAGTTCTCAATCCATTTCTCCCAATAAATTATACATAGATCAAATTCAAAGGTCAAAATAAAAGTCAGTTCTTCCTTAATTTCTCATGCTATCTCTATTTTTATCTCTATTTTATCGAAAACATCAAAAATATTCTTTCTGTAAGTTTTCTGAAAACTATTTGATGCTTCTCTTGCTCAGACAAACTCATTGTAAGATTCTGATGTGCAGTAAAGCAGGGGTCAGGGGGTCAGAGTGTCGAGCTCTTGCCTGTCTCTTGGCCTCGCGGAGTTTGCGTTTCAGCGCGGTGACGATCCGCTGCACCTCCCAGAGTCTCTCCTCCTTGGACAGATCCTTCACACCGGCCTGCAGATCCCGGTGCAGACGGTTCAAGAGGAACTCCTGCAGAAAGACACGTGGACAGATGCGAAGACCCGTAAGAACAAACACACTGAACATTTTTTTTTTTTACTGAAACCGAAATGAAAGTTTACCTTTAGCAGAAACCCAAAACACAATTTATTTTATTATCAATGATCACAAACATTTAAATTGCACAATTTAGATTTTAAACAGGCTTGTGGAAAGGAGACAGCGACGCGGGCACGCTTTCCACGCGTTTTTAGCATAGGGAGGGACGCGATACGATACTATGTGCTGCGCCATGAAACCCATTTATTTAAGGCGCGTTTGTGTGGATCACGTGATAATTATTTTTTTTTCATTAAGTCAGCATAGGGAAGAGCCTTTCTAAAAGAATTAAAAAACCTTTATTCACACACGTGCACCTAAATGCATTTTACAGTTCACACGCATCTATTTTTAGTCGCTAATGCAAATGCAATGCTGGCACTATCGAGCCCTGCAGTGGCTGTAATAAAAACAGATTTATTCAAACACACATTAAATAAGACATCAATAACAGGTTAAGTAAACATTTCAGTCACGCCATCGGAAAGGAGCCAATTAAACGTCACCGTTTCTTTCTGCTCTAGGTAATCACTACAAATTAGATCTCTTTAAAATCTCAGTTGTCCTACAGCCAGTTCCTGTTTCTCTTTCCTCCTGAGAAAAACACATCAGTAATTAGAGTTTCAGAAGAGATCTCAACAATGTCTCGAATTGTGTTTGGCAAATCTCAATATGAACTCGGGCATTTCTCAGACTAAATGATCCGAACTGCTTTGTGCATTGTAGCTCTAAACTCTGTATGAAAACGATCAACTCATTTGGGTCGGAATTTTAGTATAAACAACTGATACCTTTAACAAACTTTAAAAAAACATTAAAGGATTAGTTCACTTTTGAAAAAACTTTTGCTGATAATTTACTCACCCCCATGTCATCCAAGATGTCCATGTCTTTCTTTCTTCAGTCGAAAAGAAATAAAGGTTTTTGATGAAAACATTCCAGGATTTTTCTCCATATAATGGACTTCAATGGGAACCGGATGATTCAAGGTCCAAAAGACAGTTAATAACAGTTTCAGATGCAGCTTCAAATGTCTTTAAACGACACCAGACGATGAATAAGGGTCTTATCGTGCGAAACGATCGGTTATTTCAAAGCTTATTCCAAAAATGTAACTTTTCTAAGGACAAATGCTAGCCTTGCTATATTCTGTGAGGCACGTTTGCAATGTCACGTAATACGTAATTACGTTCAAAAGGTCACGGGCGACGTAGCCCGACGCAGAGTCAGTGTTTACAAGTTGAACGCATAGGTTGAACGTGAAAACTAACTCAAACACCGTTTACAAAAAAAGGAATTAAAAGGAAAAACAACGATGTCGGACGATTTTGATTCTGTACTTCCGGCTACGTCGCCCGTGACCTTTTGAATGTAATTACGTATTACGTGACGTTACAAACGCGCCTCACACAATAGAGCAAGGCTAGCATTTGTCCTTAGAAAAGTTACATTTTTGGAATAAGCTTTGAAATAACCGATCGTTTCGCATGATAAGACCCTTATTCATCGTCTGGTGTCGTTTAAAGACATTTGAAGCTGCACTGAAACTGTTATTAACACTATCTTTTGGACCTGAATCATCCGGTTCCCATTGAAGTCCATTATATGGAGAAAAATCCTGGAATGTTTTCATCAAAAACCTTAATTTCTTTTCGACTGAAGAAAGAAAGACATGGACATCTTGGATGACACGGGGGTGAGTAAATTATCAGCAAAAGTTTTTTCAAAAGTGAACTAATCCTTTAAGTTTCCAGAGATATGAAAGAGCAATCTCTGAGCGATAAGATTCACACACTGAAGCGTCACACCAGGGCTGTTTACGCCGTTCCAACTGTTTTTGTTTCCAGTCTCTCCACTCTCACACAGTTTGGATTCATCTCCTGTTTTGAATATCACATGCATTTCCCTGCTCACAAAGGACACATTTGCCTTGGACACATTCAAACTATTCATTTTATGTAAAACTTCTTTCATGATACAGGTTCCTCTTCCTGGTAGAAGATATACAATGTGATTTTTTTTAATGAAATGAAGTGCTAAATGTCGTTGTGCATAAACTAAAAGCAATACAACAAATACTACTGTATAGATGTATTTCAGATATGTGAGATTTGGAATGAAAGTGCAAAATTGCATTTTCTGAAAAGGTGCATTATTTTACCTTCATGCAAAACAATTTCTTTCTCTCTCTCTTTTTTGGGGTGAACTGTGACATGTTGAAGGGTTTTGCGAGATTAGAAGGCATTTTTAAACTACATTGTAAAGAGCAAAGTAACCAAACAGTTGATGGTAGCCATTGACTTCAATAGAAAAATACTATGGAAGTCAATGGCAACTTGGTTACCCACATTCTTCAAAATATCATCTTCTGTGTTTAGCAGATGGAACAACTTAAGGATTTTTTTAAGACTTTTAATGGGAATATATATATATATTTTATATAAATCTAAATCAGTCACAAATATAGCGTCCTGTGTGTTTCAGTCCTGTGAATCACCTGTCTGCGGATCTCCTCTTTAATGCTCTTCTGGGTCTCAGGTAGGGTCGGCATGGTGGCCATATTGGACCAGCGCAGTGGATGGACGACCGGCTTCAGAGGCACATCACCGAACAGCTCACGGACGTGCGTGAAAAACACGTACAGCACGCGGTTCCCGATCTAGAAACCAGAGAGTGTTGTGTCATACAGGAATACGCAGTCATGGTAAACCTTAAAAAAAAGGTTTATGGGAGTTAACTTTATGGTGTTTTTGCCCACCCCCCTCTTCTCCACATAATTTGCAGTCACTTCTCAAATAAAACTGACCCCAAACAAAGACCTCATTAGCAGTACCTCCATCCTACACACTCCTGTGGGACTGTAAAGTAGGACAACCTTCAGTTTGAGAGCAGAAACGCATCAAAAACTCTCTGTATATCATGATTTTATTATACTAAACTTCCCATCAGAGAATCTTTACTGTACAATATACATCCATACAGGGTACAAAAGTAGATTTTTGCCATAACTGTATATAATGTATTAAAAATTGACAAAATATTACATATGGAAAAAGAATCTGTATTATTTATGATATTTAATCTGAGAGGAAAGATTATTGAGTAATATGAGAAACTTGAAATGTTGAATTTAAAATAATAATAATAAGTCTTGCTAATCAATCAAATCAAATTAGGATAAATATTCATCCATAGGCCTTCATCCGATATTTTGTAACACATTATAAATAAATTAGTGAAATATTTGTAACTTTATATATAAATAAATAAATAAATATATATATGTATATATGTGATTAAGACAATTAAAAATCCCTTAGAGTCAAAATATCTGTGATAATTTAATTGAAAATATTTTATAGACATTTGTATGCGTCTGATGGTGTTGACAAAAATCCAGTGCTGATCCCGCAAACCTCTAATTTATAAAAAAAAAAAATATTACAACTGGGAGGTTGTTCCAAAACATGGTTACATAGCCAAACCCTCATTTTACAAATATGTATACACTGTTTTTAAAAATAATAAAGTTTTTTTTTTTTAGAAAATCAAAAGCTGTTGTCCCTAATCTCAAGAATCACTGATATATATATATATATATATATATATATATATATATACACACACATGTATATATATAATTTATTAATAATGCATCATAAATTGTATATAATGTGTTGAATATTTACAAAATATTGCAAAGGTCCAAAACTGTTCATATTTATCAGATGTTTAACGAACTGATAACAAATGTTCTTCAATAGACCTAATTTATGTATTTTATGTTTATATATATATATTTGATATATTGTCATATGGACATGCCACTACAAGCGTAGAATGATCCATAACACATCTAGAACTGATAATCAAGACATCCCCTGTATATTCTCAGCTCACCTGTACAGTGGGATTGAGCACAATAGAGATGTTCTGGATGTTCATCTTGGTGTCGATTTCGCGGGCGATGACGTGGTCCATGTGAGTGATGAGCCAGGCCAGGAGGAGTCTGCTCCCCGAGGGCACTTCCCCCAGCAGCCTCTGAAACTCCTGCAGTTTCTCCGCCTCGCTGGGCCGCCCGCAGGCCTCGTCGAAGCGCAGGACCAGTTCTTTACCCAGCAGGTTATCGGGCAGCTCGCGCAGGTACTGCTTCAACAGGCTGGCCACTGTGTGTGGATCATACTCCTCCAGACATGGACACTCCTCGCGGTCGTACGCCGCTTTCAGCTCGTCAACCTTAGACTTCATACCTATGGAAACAACACACACGAGATTCAAAAGCTGCAAGGCGCATTTGATTTTGACTTTTTATGTCGGATAAAAGAAAAGCTGCTGAGGCACATGGAGTCACTTTCCATTCAAACTTTCACTTCGTTTCAGCAGTCTAGCTTTGCATTAAACATCATGAATGGAAAGTGGAATAATTCTCTTTTATCACAAGAGGACCAAAAAGATCTAAGCCCACTTATGAGGTAAAGACGATTAAAGGAGGATTTTTCACTTTTAAAAAAAACTTTTGCTGATAATTTACTCACCCCCATGTCATCCAAGATGTCCATGTCTTTCTTTCTTCAGTCGAAAAGAAATTAAGGTTTTTGATGAAAACATTCCAGGATTTTTCTCCATATAATGGACTTCAATGGGAACCAAACGGTTCAAGGTCCAAATGAGAGTTTCAGTTCAAACTGCAAACTGTTCAAAGGGCTTTAAACGATTCCAGACGATAAATAAGGGTCTTATCTAGCGAAACGATCGGTTATTTAAAAAATAAATAACAAAGTTTAAGTTTTATAAGCTCAAATGCTCACCTGACTCACCTGTTTGAACTCGTTCATCAAAACGAACAAATCTTTTTCCGAGTCAATTCGTTCATTGAATGAACTAAATGACTCGAAAAAAGATTCGTTTCATTTTTTAAAAGTGAACTACTCCTTTAAATGTTTGTACAAGTTAAAATTTTTCTCTGCAATAACTGACTTCAAGGGTTACAAAAATGAACCCATATTTTATAAAATATCCCATAATTTACTCACCCTCAAGCCATCCTAGGTGTTTATGACTTTCATCTTTCAGCCAAATCAGATTTATAAGAAAAAAATATCCTGGATCTTCCCAGCTTTATAACTAGAGTAAATGTATGAAAGATTTTGAAGCCCAAAAAAGCTCCTCCATCCAACATATAAGGAATCCATTCTGAAGTAAAGCGATGCGTTTTTGTAAGAAAAATATCCATATTTAGAACTTCACAAACTATAGTCACTGGCTTCTAGTAATAGCCGTACTCGAGTCTAGTTCTGGATCTCTGATCCGACGTATGATGAATTACTTTTATGATGGATGGAGTCGCTTTTTTTTCAGGCTTCTATTGTACCATTCACTCCCATTATAATGCTTGGAAGATATATTTCTTTAACATACGTCCAATTGTGTTTGGCTGAAAGAATATGGGATAATTGAAATTTTTGGGTGAACTTACTCTTTAAAGTTGAAAACAACCCAGAATATTCCTTTAATAAAAAAATAAAAAAAATTTTTTTAATGTTTTTGAAAGAAGCCTCTTTTGCTCAATAAGGCAGCAATTCGATTTTTTTTTTTTTTTTTGTAAAAACAGTCATTTTGTGATTTATTTTTACAATTTACAGTGTGTTTTTTTAATTATTATATTTTTTTAATATAACTCCAATTGTGTTTGGCTGAAAGAATATGGGATAATTGACATTTTTGGGTGAACTAACTCTTTAAAGTTGAAAACAACCCAGAATATTCCTTTAATAAAAAAAAAAAAAAAATTTTTTTAATGTTTTTGAAAGAAGCCTCTTTTGCTCAATAAGGCAGCAATTCGATTTTTTTTTTTTTTTGTAAAAACAGTCATTTTGTGATTTATTTTTACAATTTACAGTGTGTTTTTTTAATTATTATATTTTTTTTAATATAACTCCAATTGTGTTTGGCTGAAAGAATATGGGATAATTGACATTTTTGGGTGAACTAACTCTTTAAAGTTGAAAACAACCCAGAATATTCCTTTAATAAAAAAAAAAAAAAATTTTTTTTAATGTTTTTGAAAGAAGCCTCTTTTGCTCAATAAGGCAGCAATTCGATTTTTTTTTTTTTGTAAAAACAGTCATTTTGTGATTTATTTTTACAATTTAAAGTGTGTTTTTTTAATTATTATATTTTTTTTAATATAACTCCAATTGTGTTTGGCTGAAAGAATATGGGATAATTGACATTTTTGGGTGAACTAACTCTTTAAAGTTGAAAACAACCCAGAATATTCCTTTAATAAAAAATAAAAAAAAATTTGTTTAATGTTTTTGAAAGAAGCCTCTTTTGCTCAATAAGGCAGCAAATCGATTTTTTTTTTTTTTTGTAAAAACAGTCATTTTGTGATTTATTTTTACAATTTAAAGTGTGTTTTTTTTTATTATTATATATTTTTTAATATAACTCCAATTGTGTTTGGCTGAAAGAATATGGGATAATTGACATTTTTGGGTGAATTAACCCTTTAAAGTTGAAAACAACCCAGAATATTCCTTTAATAAACAAACATAAAATTTCACTTCACACAAAGTAGAAAAGGGTCGTACCAGAGACACGATAGATGCCTTCACATTTCATGCCGTAGCTCTCGATGTAGTCCACACACTCTCTGAAGACGGCCGGGAGCTGTATACCATCGTACAGCGCTGTTCTCCTCACCGCTTCCACTAAAGGCGCCCCGAAGATCGGCCGCAACGTCGTGGTCGTCGTCTCCGTGATCACCGCTTCAGGCTCTGCGCTCGGCTTTTTCTTCTTCTTCTTCTCTTTCCACTGTTTCACCACGTCCGCAGCTGTCAGGTCTTTGGACTTCTTCTCCTTGGCCTTCTCCTCTTTAGGTCCCTTCTCCTTCACTTTGAAATCCTTTTCTTTCTTCTTGGAGAAACTGGGCTTCTTGAAGACGTGGATACCCTTGGAGCGCTTCATCTTGGACGGGCTCTCGGCCTCATCGGCAGAGCTGTCCTCCTGGAAAGCGGCGTATCCCTCAGCTACAGGGAGAGGAGATTAAAAAACGAAATGAGAAGAGATCACATGTTTCTTCCAAGACCTGACGCTGAACAAAAACAAACGTCCTATTAACTGCTGTGCAAAATTTACTGTCCCACCCTCTGTCTCTCTCAAGGTTGGGCGAGACTGAAACGAGCAGAACGAAATGAGACCGAGAGAAAGGCACTGCTCTAAAGAGGTCAGCTTACAATTTAGCAATATCCCCCTGTGCCAGCTCTTTTTTTAGTGATCCATTTCCTCACCCTGAGCAGAACAGTGTTCGGCTGCTCACTAACACAGGTCCTCTAACACACCTACAGGGTGTGTCCTTAAAGCTCCATCACTTCCTGCTTGTGTGCAATAGGCTGCTGTAAGGCAGCTAAATATAGTGGCAGGAAAATAATGAATTCACTCTGAAGCGGCACAGAAACTGGAACATTTGCGCATCAAGGGCAGAAGTCCATACTATGAACTAGATCGCAATATATATATTTATAATATGTATCTCAATATTTTCCAACCTTTTAATACATGCAGTTCCACTCAAAACAAAGTTTGGGGTTGGTGAGATTTTTTTTTAATGTTTTTGAAAGAAGCCTCTTTTGCTCACTAAGGCAGCAATTCGATTTTTTTGTTGTTGTAAAAACAGTCATTTTGTGAAATATTTTTACAATTTAAAACGTGTTTCTTTTATTTTTCTATTTTAATATATGAAGAGTTCAGATGCAAAAGCCTCTAAGTGCCATTTGAAATTTTCTTCTAGAATGATCATTTTTATCAAGCTTGTATATTTAAGTTCAGTGATTTCACTTAAATGGCAATGATAATTACCTATTAATTGTTATTTAAGTGAAATTACTGAACTTAAATATACAAGTTTGATAAAAATCATCATTAAAGAAGAAAATTTCAAATGGGATTTAGAGGCTTTTGCATCTGAACTCTTCATATGATGATTCGCTGCTCAAGAAACATTTATGATTATTATTAATAATAAAAGTATTTGTGCTGCTTAATATTTTTGTGGAAATTGTGATTTAATTCTTTTTTTCGTTGATACATCAAAAAAGAAACTTGTTTATTTAAAGTAGAAAACATTATAACTGTCTTTTCTGACATTTATCAATTTAAAGGAGTAGTTCACTTTTAAAAAAAAACTTTTGCTGATAATTTACTCACCCCCATGTCATCCAAAATATCCATGTCATTGTTTCTTCAATTGAAAAGAAATTAAGGTTTTTGATGAAAACATTCCAGGATTTTTCTCCATATAATGGACTTCAATGGGAACCAAACGGTTCAAGGTCCAAAAGAAACCGCAAACTGTTCAAAGGGCTTTAAATGATTTCAGACGACGAATAAGGGTCTTATCAAATGAAACGATCGCTCATTTAAAAAAATAAATAACAAAGTTTAAGTTTTCTAAGCTCAAATGCTCACCTTGCTCTGTTCTGTGATGCACGTTCGTGACTCTCCTGTTCTAACTCGTTCATCAAAATGAACGAATCTTTTTTCAAGTCAATTCGTTCATTTTGTTTGTTGAATGAACCAAATGACTCGAAAAAAGATTCGTTCATTTTGATAAACGAGTTTGAACAGGAGAGTCACGAACGCTCATCACAGAACAGAGCAAGGCGACCATTTGAGCTTAGAAAACGTTGTTATTATTTATTAAATGACCGCTCGTTTCGCTTGATAAGACCCTTATTCATCGTCTGAAATCGTTTAAAGCTCTTTGAACAGTTTGCACTGAAATTGTCTTTTGGACCTTGAACCGTTTGGTTCCCATTGAAGTCCATTATATGGAGAAAATCCTGGAATGTTTCCATCAAAAACCTTAATTTCTTTTCGACTGAAGAAAGAAAGACATGAACATCTTGGATGACATGGGGGTGAGTAAATTATCAGCAAAAGTGTTTTGAAAAGTGAACTACTCCTTTAATGCGTCTTTGCTGAAAAAAAAAATCGTACTTTTGAACGGTAGCGTACGTCAAATAGAGGAACCATAATTTCACCCAAATATTATTGCTAAAATAATCCAGGCATGTTTCCCACAACCATTTAAACACAAGCAAGAAATCTATTCCTGCATTTTCATTTAAATTAATATTTAATATGCACATACTGACGTTTTGAAAATTAGCACACCAAGCGTTGATTTGTGCTAATTAACATTAACAGTAAAATGTGTGAATTGTGATGACGCAAATGAATAACTGAATCGTAATATTGATTTTATTTACTTTGAACTGATTATAGTTGAACAGAATTATAGATAGAAGTCTCTAAAAAGCATGTTTGCTACTGAAATTCAAAATCATAAACGGAAGTCAAGAAATGATTTGACACAATGAAAACGATGAAAGATCTACTGTACAGTGGCTCCAAAAGGCGTTCAGATTATAAAATTGCACTAATAATAAAATACTAAAAAAGCTCAAATGCTGCAAGATTCAAAACAAACAACTTTTTGTTAAATATTTTGTGCCTGTGCTTTCTCGATGCCCTTGCTTTTTATCCAATAACATTTATATTGATTTAGATCAGTGCATCATTTTAAGGCATTGTTGAGTGTAAATATGAGTGTGTGTGTTTATCTTACTGCGTTTCTCCTTCTTCTTAAACTTGTTCTTCTTCTTGTTGTGCTCCTTCTCGTCATCGGACACCACGTCGGGCGGCTCATGGTGGTGTCCGTCGTGAGGGGGCGAGGGGTCGCCCCTACTGTACAGACCTGGGAACTTCGTAGGGCTGATCTCTTCAGAGCTCGGGGTGCGCGCCACACTCCCGGGATGCTCCGCCCTCCTCTGCTCCACAGGACTGCTACTGGGTGGCAGAAAACACTCGGTCATCTCTGCGCTGCCCTGCTATTGGCTCCTTGCAGCACGATGCCCTGGGATTGGCTGATGACGCATCACCTCTCCATGTCACCTGACCAGGAATAAATAGACAAGTTGTTTAAAATTCTCGTACTTTAAATACAATCACCATTTGAATGACACTCTTTCCGTAAGAAATGTAAGAACATCTACATTGTGTTTGTTGAAACACATTTTGAGCACATGAACCCCTCATGGCAGCTGTCTGTTTTGTAAACATCACTTTTCCTAAATCAGATGAACAGATAACCTTCAAATAAATGAAAAAACACGTTCTGTAAATCGTGTGACTGATTGACTATGTGTGACTAAATGTTCAAATCGAAAACACTGTCCTCTAGTGACTTTTTGCATCTTTATTGCTATATAAAAGGACCCGTGAATTCTGTCACTAAAATAAAAAATGGGTTTATTGGTCTTCAAACCACAAAAGCCTTCCTATACAACATCAATAAATTCCTTGATCATTTATTGAATTATTACAATTATGATTAAAGACCCAACAACACCAAAAAAAAAAAAAACTGAAATTAGAGAAAGCAATGACAATTCTGTCATCATTTACTCACCCTCATGTTGTTCCAAACCTGTATGAGGTTCTTCTGTTGAACACAAACGAAGATATTTTGAAGAATGTTGGTCACCAGACAGTTAACGCCACCAATTGACTTACATAATATTTTTTTCCAACTATGGAAGTCAATGGCTTTACCGTCAATTGTTTGATTACAAACATCTTCTTTTGTGTTTAAAATCATAAAAAATTTTGGAACAACATGAGGGTGAGTAAATGATGACAAATCTATCATTTTTGGGTGAACTATCCCTTTAAATAAACTCTCACAGTCTCACACTGTGAACCCTAAAAGTATAGGTCCAAATAGTAGCACTTTGAGCTACAATCTTTGTCATGTATAATAATATCTTATTTCATTAAGTAAAAATAATTAACTGTACAACCATATTTTGTTAAAACAGCCCATTTGTATCCATAACCAATAAAAGCTCAAACATTACCTGCAAGATTAGATACCATTAAAAACAAACAAGGGGGTTGAACAAGTGCAAATCATATCAGAAGCGGAGCAAGTTATCATTAAAAAATAATAATAATAATAATAAAATATGAGGACCAAAGTTTTAGAAAAACATGCATTTGTGAATTCTCAAATGAATAATCTCAATTAGACCTAAAATTTGTATTTAGATATAATAAGGTCACTTTTGACTTTAAAAGAGGAAAAATCTCTAAATCATGATAACATACATTTATATTAATAATATTCATATGTTGTTGGTAGACAATTTTATTAATCTGTACAAGGTAGTTTTTTAGTTCATTTAAACAATTCTGCTGTGTGACGACAACTGAGTACAAAAATTAAGAAGATTATAAGGTGTGAGAGAGAGAGAGAGAGAGAGAGAGAGAGAGAGAGAGAGAGAGAGAGAGAGAGAGAGAGAGAGAGAGAGAGAGAGAGAGACTAATTTTATCTGCAGGCCCTGCCCCTAATAAATCCACACACACACACACAAAAAAAAAAAAAAACCCGTAAGAAATCGCCTTACATTCAAAACAGGGGTACACGGCTTTGGCTTGTAACCAACACAACCATAGTGATTTAAAGGCATTTCGACAGGTTATTTCTCCACAAAAGAACAGAATAAATCTTCCCTGACAGCAGCTGTTTCGTTGTATTGAACACAAGTCAGACCATATGACAGATTATTTTAAAAAACAATGAATGAAACGCACTTAAAAGATGCATGAACACGTATAATAACAACTATGATTATAACTAAATATTCAAAAGTACAAAAAGGGAGGTTCATAGCTTAGCATGTCTGCTAACGAACCTCAGATTTAATGGATTAAGTCGACATTTAAAATTATTAAAAGATTAATAAGATGTATAAACGATAAAGTGAGCCACAATGCTGATAAAATGTTAAAGAATAATTATAAATATATTAAGAAAAATAATCCGTCCACAAACCTGCTATGATCAATGTAACAGCTGCACTTCCTGTAGCTTGTTTACGTCCCGTCTGACACGCGCGCATGCGCAGTTGCAGTCTTTGAGTTCTTTCTGCTTGCCACCTGATAAACTAACTTTTTATTTTGAATCTAATGTTTGGATGAGTTTGAGAATATTATTTCTCGTTTGTATTACAAACAATAAAAATAAGATGTAAGGGTTTTGTTCAACATATGTATATGGATCTCTATATTATTTTCAGTGTTTTCTATGCGCCAATTTGCCAGCAGATGACGCTGTTGAGCAGCAGACCAACTGTGCAGTATTACAACCTACAACTCAATGACCGAGGTGAGTTCATTCAGGTCTAAGATGTGGGGAAAATACTGTCCTTAGTAACAGAAAAACAGCCCTTCCTCTGGTTACATCATTTTAGGGATTGCCGTGAAATCATATTCATGATTCAGGCATTATCGTTTTGTTTATGGTTGTGAGAAACATTATCTGAGATGCCAGATAAGAGTTTGGACATATTGTACAGCATCCATCATAAAACTGCAGTAGAATTGTATGAGTCAGTGGTTACAGTCAAAACTGGTACCACCAGTGTTATTTACTGTAATATAATTGAGATACTAATAGAGTTTGTATTCATATTTTCAATTAGTTTTCGTTTTTATATTTTCGATTTAAATTGTAGTTATGTTGTTGTTTTTCATCATTATTGTAATAATATATATATATATATATATATAATTTTTATTTTTTTATTTGCAGTTCTAGTTATTTTAGTACATCAAAACTAAATTAAAAATGCAACTTTCCATTTAAGTATTTAATTGTTGTTTTCTTGAAATTGTTTTTACACCATCTTACTTGACCTTTGAACCTCCTTCTTGACAATAAAACCCTTTTAAGATCATCTGGCAGTAGTGTTTGGTGTGTTTCTTCACTGCATTTGGCCAAACACTGCTTTCAAAAATTCATGACAGCTCTGATATGTATTATAACAAATACCTGAAAATACATGAACGATTTACATTTATTTATTTATTTATTTTCATTTTTAAAACTTTCTTTTTTCAACATTGTTAATAAGAGAAGCAAATCATCATTCAGCTTTGATCACAGGAATAAATGATATTCAAACAGAAATAGGAATAAAATACACAAACACATACAATCAAATAAATAGTTAGATACAATCTAAATCATTTTCTCTTCTTTTTAATCTCAATTCCTCTTTTGTGCATCCAGGATTTGAAGCAACGGGTTAATTGGTTTTCTTGACCTTTTTTTTGTGTGTTAGATTCTATCTGAACCATTTCTGTGGAAGAATTGTTCTGGTGTGAGACTTTAACTTAACTTGCAGACGTCCCACCTTTATCATTCACACACACACGGGACTCAATTACATCAAAGATCCTCCAAATACCTTCAGTTAAAGGTAAAAGCAAAGCCTCGCTGTGTGTAGGATGACCTTTGACCCGACCGTGAGTGGTTTTCTGAAAGAGCCCGTCGGCTTGTTTGCAGGCATAAAGAAATATAATAGTTTTATTAACATTATATATAGTTTTATTAACATTTAGAATTTTTGTTGAACTTTATTTTTAATATTTTCCATTTTCATGTTCATTTTATGTCATGTCGTTTTATTTATTTATTTTAAATATTGCTATTCAGGTTTAATTTAGATTTTTTTTTTTTTAATTGTAGTTTTTCATTGATTTCCAGTTTAATACTTTTATTGCTTCGACTAAAACTTGAACTGAAACATCTCTAGTTTAAGTTCAAGTTGCTTTATTTTAATTAACAGAAATGTTTTAATAGTTTTAGATTTGGTTAGTGATAATAACCATGTCCTGACCTTTAAATGAACTTATTTTGATTGTTTGTTTGTTTTTTAGTAAAGAGACTGACAATAAACATAATGGGATAATGTTTATCACAAAAACTTGTAAATTATTTTCTGTAAATGCTTTTTTTTTTACAACCTTGAAATGATTTTCTCTAGTAAATGACAGTATAGAGCTCCAGTATTGAATATTCATTTCTTTTATATGAATATTGTTTAGTTCATAACTTTTTTTGCTAATGTAAACGTGATTAAAAGTGGTTCTGAGGCTGTTTGCACAACACTTTTGCACAATAAACGTATGGTGATTTTGTCAAGCCAACCTAAATAATTGAGCATGAGTTATGTAACACTTTCTTGTTTTTTTCTGAGTATGGGCAGTTCCCAATATTCGCCTTATCCTCTGTGATAACAGCTGGGACAAATACAGGATAAGCGTGCACTCATTGCACAGTTCAGACGGTTTCGGTTTATCTGTGTGCCAAACCCGAGGCTGAGTCACGGAGACTGAATGCACATCTCTGCACATGCAGCATGCCTATTGCACATATGAAGAGTTCAGATGCAAAAGCCTCTAAGTGCCATTTGAAATTTTCTTCTAAAATGACAATTTTTATCAAGCTTGTATATTTAAGTTCAGTAATTTCACTTAAATGGCAATGCTAATTACCTATTAATTGTTATTTAAGTGAAATTGCTGAACTTAAATATACAAGTTTGATAAAAATCATCATTAAAGAAGAAAATTTCAAATGGCATTTAGAGGCTTTTGCATCTGAACTCTTCATATGCTAATACACACTGCAAACCTTGTGGAATACAAAAGAGAGATCACTTCTAATGCAGTGCAATGAAAATGTAAAGAAATCAAATAGAGGTTTTCTCCTAGTCGTGTTTGGCAGTGACATACATTCTGTTTTGTTTTGTATAGTAGTTTTGCAGAGCTCTATAAAGAAACCCATTGAACCTTTTAGTGGATGTTCCACTTAAATTACATTTCATTTAGACGATGATGTCATCCTCTCCTGTTTTCGTGTTTATTTAATTTGCAACGCATTCTCACCCCAAGGCGTCACCTTTGACCATGCTTCAATATTTGACGTTTTAGGCGCCCTTTAGCGTCACTTACATGACGCGATCCTACCGCGTCATCTAACTGACGCTAAAGGAAAGCGTCAGTTAGATGACGCGGTTAGGTTTAGGTGTGGGGTGGGGGTAGGGTACACGCGATCCTAGGGCGTCATCTAACTGACGCTAAAGGGCGCCTAAAGCGTCAGATATTGAGGCATGTCCAAACAGTTAAGTGACGCCTTGGGGGTGAGAATGGGCTGTAATTTGATGAGATCATCATCCTCTCCTCACTGAAACAGAATGTAGATCCTGTCAGTCAAAGCCCTGTAAACATTAACGATCCAATTGAATCATCGGCTCATTATCTGGAGTTTATCTGGAGTTTCAACTTTGTCCTATAGAACAGAGAACACATCCAGGAACACAACTGAGAGTGACAGCACCACACCGACATACGGACTTTTTCTCTCTGGATTTTAATCTTCTGTTTTCTTGTACATGGATTCTGGTGCCTGGAACATGGCACTTCTCTCAGACAAGGTAAAGTATTGCATTCCCATTGCTTTTACTGTGATTTCATAGTTTGGAATGGGATCGTTCTCAGGTAACAGTGCCAAATTTGTGCTTGATAAAAATAAAATAAAAAAATAAAAAATAATGAAAAGGTTAATGGCGAACCGGCCCACCTGCTGGACCACCAGAACTGGGTGCGTCCTCCAAAATATTGTATGCTTAAAATTCATCAATTTGGAAGAATAAACAAGTATATGAAGAGTTCAGATGCAAAAGCCTCTAAATGCCATTTGAAATTTTCTTCTTTAATGATGATGTTTATAAAACATGTATATTTAAGTTCAGTGATTTCACTTAAATGGCAATGATAATTACCTATTAATTGTTATTTAAGTGAAATTACTGAACTTAAATATACAAGTTTGATAAAAATCATCATTAAAGAAGAAAATTTCAAATGGCATTTAGAGGCTTTTGCATCTGAACTCTTCATATACTAACAGTATCAGTCTGTTTAAAGACTAATACTGTATATATACTGTATTTATATATATATATATATATACACGTACCAGTCAAAAGTCTTTTATGTTCACCTTACATTCTATACAATGCTGGGTTGTTCGAACCCAAATTTGGGTAAAATATGGACCGAATCAAATGTTTTTTTTTCTTTCAAAAAAATGTCCATACACTCTTATAAGAAAAGGGTCTATCAGCACTACGTATTTGGAACCCCTATAAAAGGGTTCCTCTGGGTTCTATATAGAACGTACTTGGCCAATAGAACCTTTTACCAAAAAAATGTGGTTCTATATAGAACCATTTTGGAGTTCCAAATATGTAGCCTACTCAGAAAAATATAATTTCAACAAAAATTGCATTTTAACCCAACTTTTGAAACAACCCAGCATTTTTTTTTTAGATATGCTCGTACAATCTAAAAAATGCTGGGTTATTTTTAAACCAAAATGCTGGGTTGAGCATTTTGACTATGTTGCTGGGTTATTTTCTCCGTAATCAGATGACAATGACCAAGCATTTGGGTTTGTTTCGGAAACTTTGACCCTTACATATATGCTGTAAAAATACAGTAAAAATAGTGTTTATTGCTGTGAACTGTTTTTTCATTATCATTATTCCAGTCTTCAGTGTCACGTGATCCTTCCGAAATCATTCTAAATAGAAGAGACAAAAAGAGACTTCTTTAAAAACATTACATTACTCGCAATAAAAAAACGATTCCAAACTTTTGACCGGTAGACTGGTACACTTTTAACCCAATTTTGGGTCAAATATGGATAAACCCAGCCATTGGGTTACATTTTTAAATTGCATGTTCATTTTTGAGTTTGTCCATATTTGACCCAAAGTTGGGTTAAAACAACCCAGCTTTTTTAAGAGTGTACTGGATAAATGATGGGGACATCATATGATCCAATAAAAAACATTTCTAATCTCTGTTCTCCTATGGCACTGCTTTTTGAGAATAACCCAAAGAATGTGTTTGAGCTTGATGATCTGAAGATGAATAACCCAAAGAAAAATGATTGTCTAGGAAGAATTTGATTTAAAAAAATGTTTGAGTTCTCTATCAAATCTTGGCAAATCTGAGACATTACACTCTCAGAAAAAAAGGTACAAAAGCTGTCACTGGGGCTGTACCTTTTCAAAAGGTAAACTTTTGTCAATTTTAGGTGCTAATATGTACATTTCAGGTGCTAATATGTACATTTTATGTGCTAATAAGTGCATTTTAAGTGTTAATAGGTACATTTTAGGTGCTAATATGAACATTTTAGGTGCTAATATGTACATTTTAGGTGCTAATAAGTGCATTTAAGTGTTAATAGGTACATTTTATGTGCTAATATGTACATTTTAGGTGTTAATATGTACATTTTAGGTGCTAATAAGTACATTTTAGGTGTTAATATGTACATTTTAGGCGCTAATAAGTACAAGGTGTTAATATGTGCATTTTAGGTGCTAATATGTGCATTTTAGGTGCTAATATGCACATGTTTAGTGTTAATATGTACATTTCAGGAGCTAATATGTCAATTTTAGGTGCTAATATGTACATTTTAGGTGCTAATATATACATTTTTAGTGTTAATATGTACATTTCAGGAGTTAATATGTCTATTTTAGGTCCTAATATGTATATTTTAGGTGCTAATATGTACATTTTAGGTACTAATATGTACCACTAAGGTACCAATATGCAGCCTTTGGGTACAAAAGTGTACCTTTTGAAAAGGTACAGCCCCAGTGACTGATTTTGTACCTTTTTTCCTGAGAGTGTTGAGATTGAGATTACAAGGCTCTTTAATATAAACATCTGAGAAAACTACAGCAAACTTGCTCTCCATTTCTATCTCATCAAATCGAGAACAAAAGCGCCCTGCTATCTTGAGGTTTTATTGAACCAGTCTATTTGCTGTCCTTGAAAGTTTGTGGAAATGACAATTATACAAACCCTGAGGATAATTATCTTTTCCTAATTAGTCTAGTAACTCATCGGCGTGCACGTAAACAAGAATAAAACCCAAGGCTCCCCTCAGAGTTTTTCCATTAACAGGAAAGTTCAACTAGACTAAAATGTCGTAATGACTCACGCACTCATCCATGAGAGATGTTTGCTCTGTGAGTGTTACTTTGCCATCTATAATCTAGATTTAATACAGCAATCAGTTTCCAAATGAGACTGGAAGTTAAAGTTAGCTCTTTTGCATGTTTAGCTTACATTTTTTTGATGACAAAATGCAAATGGCTTTGAGTCTCACTTCACAGGCGTCCATGAAACCACCAGTTATGTGACTCTTCTATTAGCACAAGCCATACAAAACTTTGCTCAGATGAGATAAGCTTATCTTCACTGCATGAGCAGGAGCATTCAGGTCGCGGGCTGCTGAAGAATCCTGTCAATGAAACACAAATAACCTGAAGGTTGAGAGAACATGCCTGGGATGAAAACTAAGCTGAGGTTTAAAGATCCCAAGGGTTTGGTATTCGTTGGAGAAATTGATCTGTTTTGGTACTAGATACCCACTGCACTTTCTCATTCTGAGCACGAGCTATAGTTTTCAGTGTGGCTTTTTCATACCAAATGAAACCTTTCCTTTAGTAAATCCATCAATAAATCATGGCCGTCCATGCAAGGACAAAGGGAAGTTTAATTGCTCTTTTATTATTAGTAAACTATTTCTACTTTAGTAGATTTTTCAGTTAGATTGTTTTTATTTTGGGAAACTTGCGTTTACTTCACTATTCCATAAAAACATGTCAATACGCTGATTTCACGCAGCCGCCATTTTGAAATCGAAAGCAAGGCTCCGGTGGGAAGAACCCTGGATGTACAGCTAGACAACAATGCCTTGGACTACAAACCTGAAGCTACTGCCATGATGTAAAAAACATGTTTAAAAACAGCCAATGATCAGGGCCGATTATACCCTGTCAATCAAAAGTGGGCGGAGAAACGTGTTCACACTGCGACAATAATGCATAACAGTTAAAGGTTCACTTAAAAAAAAAACTTTTGCTGATAATTTACTCACCCCCATGTCATCCAAGATATCATTCTTTCTTCAGTGGAAAAGAAATTAAGGTTTTTGATGAAAACATTCCAGGATTTTCTCGATATAATGGACTTCAATGGGGTCCAAACGGTTCAAGGTCCAAATGAGAGTTTCAGTGCAGCTTCAAAGAGCTTTAAGCGACACCAGACGATGAATAAGGGTCTTATCTAGGTAAATAATGACAAAAATACCAGTAAATTAATAAGAGAGAACCGTAATAAAGCAAGAAATAACTCTATAGTGCCTTTTTGGCACTAATATTTCACTGTGTGTCTAGAAGAAAAGGTTCTATATGGAACCTTAAAAGGTTCTATCAGTGCTACGTATTTGGAACCCCTAAAAGGTTCTATACACTCTTAAAAAAAGGGTTCCTCTATATAGAACCCTGGGGTTCCATAATTGGCCAATAGAACCTTTTACCAAAAAAAAATAAAAAAATGGTTCTATATAGAACCATTTTGGAGTTCCATATATGAAGCGGGGGATGGAACCATTTCTGGTTCTAAATAGAACCATTTCTTCTAAAAGAGGGTTTGCGCTGGCGCAAGCTGTTAATAAATCTAAGTTAGCCCCTTAATTGATCTCCGTTCAGGTTTATTGCCGTCTGCAAAAAAAAAATTGAGAAACTGAAGAGAGACAAATATTACATATTGCTCAAATTGTTTGGTCTTGGCAACATTTGATTTCATATTGAATGTTTTGACTGTAGTTTTTGACACTTTGAAACATTGCTATTGGAATCTCATCGTTGAGATAAATATTACTGCATGTTTTTCAGAAGATAAAGCAAAGGTCTCGATTTGATCTCCTACAAATCTAATTGTTGTCTGCAAAAAGCATTTGAGATCAAATGAATTGCTAGATCTCATTAATGATTTTCCTTCCCGAAGGCATTACTCAATTCATTGAGGACTTTGGTCTACCAAGATAGAAAGAGTACTGTGAGAAACTGTCGCAAGAAATCCCTGCAAAGCTACACATTTGTCTTATTTTCCAGTCCTGAAATCAAGAGATATTTACTTGAGAATCAAAACGTTTTCTGAAAAATGTATTAAAATTATGCTTAAATCAAGAGAAAAAAAAAACTTTTCTCTTTAAATTACATTTTTCTTGTTTTAAGCATAATGTACATTCAAGAGTAATTTTCCTTCTCAAGTAAATGTATCTTATTTAAGAATGTTTAGATATTTGTATGGGAAAACAAGACAAAAAATACACAGGAAGAAAATCTTTTTTGTCTGACAACCTAATTTAATTCTGCACAGAGAGCTAATCAACTAAACCCAATAAAACAGTGACTCAAAGCCAATCTTTTCAGTCTCGACCCAGCGTGTGTGTGCTCGATAGCATGATATTCTTTTTCTTTTGTATTTCTCTTCTTTTGTCAGATGTAAAGCACGATCTAGGTCACGAGTTTTGTGTCCTTGTGCTCATTATATCAGGTGCGTGGCCTGGTCACATGGATTCATTCATTTTGTCATATATTCTCCGGTCACATTTGATGCTATCCCGTTGCTTTATGCTGTACCCCGGCTCGAAGAGAGATGTTTCTGCCGGCTGTGTCACAAATAGCCAGCTGTGCTTCAAATGTCATCTTTACACTAAACTACAGGTGTTCTCTGTGCTCCAGAACTAACAATGACACTGACTTTCAAATGAATACTTAATACTGCCCAACGGACACGGTTAAACTTTAATGACCGGAACAGCTTCCTGCCTCACTCTTTAATAAATTGTGGAGGGAAGTTTTACGTTCAGGACCCCAGACATGAAGAACTAATTTCTGAAGAAGATCTGAGTGGTCACCGCCATGTTGCAAGGTGGTTTCTAGAAGGATGCTTACTATTCTAAGACAAAAAAGCCTGTGTGATGTTTTTTTTCAAGGACATCCCGAGTCTTTCTCAACAAAGTCTCAAACTGTGCTCTCTTGCTAGAGACTATTTATTTGTCATTAATCCGGATTGGCTACATTAGACGTTAAAGCCCCGTTTACACTACAAGCGACTAAGCGACACGATAGCTTGTTCGACTTCATGCAGCTCTGCGCAGACCGATCGGAGGCTGACTTGAAACAGTGCATGCCGGTTAGGAATTTTGTCCGACGTGATGCAGCGCTGACTCCACGTGACTGTGATGTATGCCATCAAAGTGCCGCGAGAGCGATACGAGAGTAGCCGGAGGACTCAGCCAGCGCAGCGCAGCTTCTCAAGAGCGGCTGCACGAGCTCTGATGATGTCACAGCTGTTCCACGATTCGCCGGATTCACCGCATGACAGCGATCACGTGCGTTTCGTGTTTATTCTCACACCTTCAGTTCCACTAAAGCTCACAAATCAGTATTTTATAACAGTAAACACTCTTTTCATGTAGTCGCAATGTTATATTGTGTCTTGTTTATGTTTAACCAAATAAAACTGATTAAAAAACGTTGATTCCACGTCATTGATTATAGGCTTATTTTGAACTTTATTCTAGTTCAAACAGATGCTGTATGAAGCAGTAAAGTATTGAATGAAAATGTGTCTGAAATATCTGTTTATTTGGCAAATGTTGCACTTATTTCACTTCAGCTGTGGTATCCCAGACAGCAAACTGACATTGAATCAACGTGGAAACGACGTCTCTCATGACATTGAAACAACGTTGATTTGCTCATCGAATTAACGTTGAACCAACGTCAGACGCGGCATTCTTCAAAGCTAAATGAAATCGAAAATTGGTTTGCTTTCATAACGTTGAAACAACGCGTTGATTTCAAGTTGATTTTCCGTTAGTTTTGAAAGAATGACGCGTCTGACGTTGGATCAACGTTAATTCAATGAGCAAAACAATGTCAGATCAACGTTGTTTCAATGTCATATTTCCACGTTGATTCAATGTCAGTTTGCTATCTGGGATAAGCATTCAAACACCACGTGAGCCGTCACTACGGGAACCAGAAATTGTCCGACTTCACGTCTCCGTTTGCAGCTCCTCCCCGCCTGCACGCGGCTGTTCTCGCCGATCGGTTGCATCCAGCCGCAGGCGATGTCGAACACATGTATTCATTTCAATGGGGAGCGGGCGATTTCCGGTGACACGCGCAACAGCGACCGGTGGGGCGTGTTCGGCGACGCGACAAAGTTGAGATCTGTTTCACTTTATGCAAATGATGAGCGACTTTCGGGAGCGACAACCAATAGGAGTGTAGTCAGTGGAGCGCGACAGCACGTCACTCTTCAGTGCGGGAACCGGGAAGCTCATTTTAGCTATAACTTCCCAGATAGCACAAGTCTATTTGATTTGAAAAGTATAGCTGGCTAATATGAGCTGTAACTGTGGCTGAGCTGGTTAAAGCGTAAAGCCTTGTTTAAAGGGTAACAAAACCCTTGGTCAGAGCCACTCCACCCACTGGCAATATTTGAAAATGCTGAAAAAATGGGCAGACACCAGCGGAGATAGAGGGGACGAAATAGATGCTAAAACACCCCAGATAGCAAACTGACATTGAATCAACGTGGAAATATGACATCGAAACAACGTTGATCTGACATTGTTTTGCTCATCGAATTAACGTTGAACCAACGTCAGACGCGTCATTCTTTCAAAACTAACGGAAAATCAACTTGAAATCAACGCGTTGTTTCAACGTTATGAAAGCAAACCAATTTTCGATTTCATTTAGCTTTGAAGAATGCCGCGTCTGACGTTGGTTCAACGTTAATTCGATGAGCAAATCAACGTTGTTTCAATGTCATGAGAGACGTCGTTTCCACGTTGATTCAATGTCAGTTTGCTGTCTGGGACTCTATCCTGATCGTTTTCAATACTCACAATTCCAATTCCTGACTCCCTACAGTGCTTTTGACGACACAAGATGGTTTTTATACTGCCAAGGGCGTAGCTCGCGCGGTGAGCTGAAACCTGCGTACGTCATAACACAGTCTCATCCCAAAAAGTCATATAACTGACGTCTTGGGACGTCTTTTGACCATACGTCAATATCCGCCTTTTTAGGGCCCCCTTAAACGTCGGTAGATGGCGATCCCGGGCCGTCATACAACTGACGCTTTACCTTTAACGTCAGTTAGGTGACGGGTTAGGTTTAGGTCTGGGGTAGAGTTAGGATCCCATAACCTCATCTACCGACGTTTAAGGGGGCCCTAAAAAGGCGAATATTGACGTATGGTCAAAAGACCCCCAAAACGTCAGTTATATGACGTCTTGGGATGAGACCGGGTTGTACGTCACGAAGTGCGGAACATCCAACTGCAGTAGCCACCGTTCAACCTGAAGAGGGCAGCACTAAGACGTTTTTACACCATATATTGTAGAAATAAAACACTTTATAAACAAATGTCAAAAAAGTTACTCGAATCAATGACTGGTATTAATAAAGATCCATTCTTACAGATCATTAACTAAAAAAGTGTTTAGTGTTTAGTTACTCTTTAAACTCGACGCGTCCGCATGAGCGCTGAGGTGCGCGCGGCAAAAATGACATGATTGTAGCACGCGTGCCTCCGCATCCCATAGGCACTACACATAATAGGCCTTTTCTCTGATTTTGACAACTCTTCACGATCGACTTAAAATGCTTCCAAGATCGACTTGGGTTGGTCATTCCTGTGACGTTACTGTTTTACGGTCAATGACAAGAAATCAGCTGTCTCACGAACGTAACCAGCACATTTATCCTCACATAGCAAAGCCATAACACAGCGAGGGACATGAAACAATCCAACTTTATATTTTACACCAGTGACAAGGGAAAAGTGCTAGTGACAAAACGCACTCTGTAGCGCTGTTTGTTTGCGTTCTGAAAAAAATATTTTCAAGATTTGTTATCACAACATATTTTCTTTTGTCAAATCAACTTTATAATAATTGATTTAGTTGAGATAACTTATTATTTTGAGTTTCTGATGATTAAATTAATCTCCTTCATTGTATTAACTCACTTTTTCCAGTTCAATCAACTTAAAATTTTAAGGCAACCCAGCTCACTTACTTTTTTTAAGTTAAACCAACAATATTTTTTACAGTTTAGTAATCACAACATTTTTTTTTTGTCAAATCAGCTTAAACAATTTATTTAGTTCAGATAACATATAATTTTGAGTTTCTGATGATTAAATCAATCTCCTTCATTGTATTAACTCACTTTTCCAGTTTAATGAACTTAAAATCTTAAGGCAACCAGGTTACTTTCTTTTTTAATTTAAACCATCAATTTTTTTTACAGTGTACGGTAGAAACATGACGTCACAATATGTCGATCTTCATAGAAGCGGGTGCCCGCGGTTATCTAAATATAAATGTCTCATTCTAAAGTAATAAAAACATTATGAAGTAAGTTCTTTATACATAACTGAAAACATAGTTATGGGTGTCATATTATATTGCATTTCTGTTAATACTGAAATTTTTTTACACATTGCAACTTTAAAAGGAAACCAGATTAGCATTGCCAGCTAAAAAATATGTTGTAGATGGTGTTTTTAGGACATTTCACCTGGTTTAGATAGTCGGCCAGGTTTTCTCTAAACCGGAGCAGTTGATATCTGCACAAAACCCCTTTAAAACCAGATCAGCTTGGACTGATACAATGCTTGGTGGATCTTATGTGAGTGACAGGTTGCTCCGCCCTGAACATGTCATCAGAAGAGAAGTTGCTGCAAAAAGGGAAGGTTGAAAGTGATTTTACTGTGTGAAAGGACCTAGGAATTGACTTACATTTGTTTTTCTCCGTATCTCAGGGTCATTCCGGGATTGAACTCCTAGACCTGCTCCTCGAGCCCCATAAGGTCTCTCATATGGAGAGCAATGGTAACCTCCCTGCGTGGTCAATCACAGATCAAAGCGTGAGTGAAATGCCTTTTGATATTTGTGAGTTTATCTGATCAATCACAAGACCGTCCTACTCAGAGGAGCAGTGAGAACATTTTATTTTGTAGTTATTTTAATAAATGAGGCACCCTGAAAGTCTTCTTGTAAACACAGCGACAGCACATGTCTGACCCAGATCTGTCCGTCAACTTGTGTGTGTGTTTGTCTCTGATCTGATATTGGGAACTGTTGAGAAGATCTATTATGCTCACCAAGGCTCCATTTATTTGATCAAAAATACAGTGAAAACTAATATTGTAAAATATTATTATAATTTAAAATAACTGTTTTATATCCGTAATATATTTTAAAATGTATTCCTATGATCAAAGCTGAATTTTCAGCATCATTACTCCAGTCTTCAGTGTCACATGATCCTTCAGAAATCATTCTGATATGATGATTTGCTGTATTTAGGAAAGCATTGCATGCTTTAATTTCCCTTGAAACATGATGCTACATGAGGGACATTGATGGATGTCATAGCTGGTTGGGTTCATTTATTAAAGATGCCATTAGTACATACTAACAAGGGTGCAAAGCAATACTGGAGACAGAAAGAAAACATGCTGTTGAGCAATGAACAATTCAAGACAAACTAGGACTTATTAACTGATCGAAAATTTAACATTTGTTTATGACTAAGAATAAGCTTATTTAGCAAGATGACAAAATGCACTTACTGTAAAATAACCATATTTTTGTTGGACAAAAATTGTGATGGCAATATCTGCATCAAAATATTTATTACAAATGGCTATATTTTATATACATTATAAATGGAAATTTTATTTATTTTATTTTATTTGTAGAAAAAGACAAAAGGGACAATACAAATTAATGAACATTTTTCACAAATGCAAATATGCCAGATTATTTCCAACTAAATATTTGTTTTCTTATTTTGTGTGTTATATATTTTGTGTAAATATAGATGTATCTTTGTAAAATGTAATTCTCTTACATTATTATTGGAATTGACGCTTGCATGAAGAACCATTTAGACCCTTTTCCATTCCACAAATGGTCCTATATAGAGGGAAAAAGGTATTTAGATGTTTTAAAATGTTCTTCACCCCCTGAATCTCGAAAGAGATTCTTTAAGAACTTGGGAACAAAAAATTAGACTTTGTAATCAATACCGCCTAAACCAAAACCAAGACACTACCCAGACCAGAGGGTCTCAAGACCAAGACATGACCAAGTCGAGACCGAGACCAAGACAAGACCAAGACAGACCAAGTCGAGACCGAGACCAAGACCAAGTCGAGACCAAGTCAAGACCAAGACAGACCAAGTCAAGACCAAGACGAGACCAAGACAGACCAAGTCGAGACCAAGAACGAGACTAAGACCAAGACCAAGTCGTGACCAAGACCGAGACAGACCAAGTCGAGACCAAGAACGAGACCAAGACCAAGACCAAGACAGACCAAGTCGAGACCAAGTCAAGACCAAGACAGACCAAGTCGAGACCAAGACCAAGACCAAGTCGAGACCAAGACAGACCAAGTCGAGACCGAGACCGAGACCAAGTCGTGACCAAGACCGAGACAGACCAAGTCGAGACCAAGACAAAGACCAAGTTGAGACCAAGACAGACCAAGATAGACCGAGACCAAGTCGAGACCAAGACCAAGACAGACTGAGACCAAGACCAAGTCGAGACCAAGACCGAGACAGACCAAGTCGAGACCAAGTCGAGACCAAGTCGAGACCAAGACCAAGACGAGACCAAGACAGACCAAGTCGAGACCAAGAACGAGACCAAGACCGAGACAGACCAAGTCGAGACCAAGACCGAGACAGACCAAGTTGAGACCAAGACAAAGACCAAGTCGAGGCCAAGAACGAGACCAAGTCGAGATCAAGACCGAGACAGACCAAGTCGAGACCAAGTCGAGACCAAGACAAAGACCAAGTTGAGACCAAGACAGACCAAGTCGAGACCAAGACAGACCAAGTCGAGATCAAGACCGAGACAGACCAAGTCGAGACCAAGTCGAGACCAAGACAAAGACCAAGTCGAGACCAAGACCGAGAGCAAGACTGAGACCAAGTCGAGACCAAGACCAAGACAGACTAAGTCGAGACCAAGACCAAGACAGACTAAGTCGAGACCAAGACAAAGACCAAGTCGAGACCAAGACCGAGACCAAGTCGAGACCGGAGGGGGAAAAACAGACTAGTGTTGTTGAAGCCAAGCAATAACTTGCATTGCCTGCCTATCTCTGCCGATTTAGAAGTCTCCAAATGAATCCATTCTGCAACTTTTAAATACATAATTGTATTTTAAAAAACGAAATTATAAGCTTAAGTGCAGGATCTGAAAGATATCGTTGTAGATATTATAGTATTGTATTGTTAAATCCCGCGACCACTATGCTGGTCTGAGACAGTGAGACCAAGACAAGACCGAGAGGTCCGAGACCAAGACAAGACCAAAGACCGTCAAGGCCGTGACAAGACCGAGACGTAAAAGCGGTGTCGAGACCGGTCACGAGACATCCAGCACTACAAAAATAGTTCTTCTGTTCTATAGCATTGCTATGAAAACCCGCTTTATTTTTTTTTTGTTGGAGAAATTTAACTCCAGCATGAAAGTAACCCTGAGATAATGTACTTTAGAGCCACGATGTGCATGTTTCTGCTATGACAGTGTGTATATTTTCTGTGTTTTGTGTGTGTCCTGATCCCTGCAGAGTCAGTGTCATGGTGAAGGTGGTGTTGATGACTTCCTGGACTCTCTGCTGTCAGAGCCCTGCTCTCCTCTCTGGGTCCCTTCACCCTGTGACAGTGGAATCAGTGACGACACCCCGTCAGACCACCTGGACAGCCCCCCACCACCCCCCACCAGCCCGCTCTTCGACTCCATCTTCCTCCCTCCGCATCCTCATCTTCTTCCTCAGCCGTCCGCTCACGGCACAAACACAGAGCCGGATATCTCCATTGATCTGGGTGAGATTTCATTTTACAAACAGCAGTCCCACCAGAATCTTTTTTATTACTATAATTTTGCAGTCAAAACAACAACAACAATCATTATATCAAGACAAATTTAAAGAGTACAGTTAGGGTGACTACACACTGCATCAGAGATGGACACTAAAGTAGAGATGCACCGATGTAAAAGTATGTTCTATTATCGGCCAATGCCTGATTGTTTAAAAACAGCCAATGATCATGGCCGATTATATCCTGTCAGTCAACAGGGGGCTGAAAAATCTCTCGAGTTGAATTTAGGACAAGTTAACGCGACAATAACGCATTAAAAATAGTGATGTCCGTTTCATTCTTTCCAATGAACCTGTTTTATTGGTTCACAAATATACACCAATCTTTCTTATTAGTGCTGACTAGTGCTGGTTGGAAGAAATAGCTATATGGTTCATTGATCAGTACTTTTTACATTTAACACAAAATAAGTACATTTAAAATCTAGCACTTTTGTACTTTTATAGGCTAAAACTTTTTAAGTACTTTTACTCAAGTACTTTATTCGTGACATTCGTCCACCACTGTCTTTTATAGCTCAGGAACAGTGTTGGGAGTAACGCATTACAAAAGTAATACATTACTGTAACATATTAGTTTTTGCTGTAACGCAGTAGTGTAAGGCATTACTAATCAATTTTCAGTAATATTTTACTCGTTACATGTTCAATGAGGCTTGTATTACAGTTGTATTACAGTGTATTGTCTGCTTTTACTTCTTAAAGGCAACAGACTATGTGAAAGTTTTAAAGCAGTCTTTTAGTGCCGGTTCAGAGCGGTCGCGTCTGTATCATTGTTTTTTCCTCATAAATGCGAACACGAAAACTAAAATAAAATGAATATTTTAAGTTCTATGGAGACTGGAGAGCCAACCTCCTCATCCGATTTGCGCAGTGTAATTAACAGAATCACAAAAAATATATATTTGCCTCCTATTTTTTTTCACGCATGAATGTGTGTCTTTTCCCTAATATTAAAAATAAAACATAGACTGATATTTGTCTAATGTCTGGAGTCCTTTAAGGAAGTAGCCTATATACGTTTCAATACATGTATTTTCTGAGAATTTTTATTTCAAGTTTTGACTGCAAATGTCATGTCCATAATGCTGGACTTCCCCAATTTTCAATAATTTATCCTCAACTAGTTTTGTGGTTAACTTCAAATGTTAAATTCAAATAATACTAATAGCCTAATTTAAAGATAAGGCAGCATTGGATCTGGACGGTAAGGAGAATAACGCTGGAGTTGGAAGAGGTGTGTCGCGATTCTGTAGGTTCGTGGATCTGAGTCGTGTGGCGAATGGCGATTTCGGTTTCATATTGCATATCGTTACAGCCCAAAAGTTAAGTTCTACTTAGTTATTTTGGTGAAAGTAACTCAAAAGTAATACATGAGTAATGTAACGCATTACAAATCTGAGACAGTAATATTGTAAGGTAATTAATTACTTTTAAATAACAGTAACAAGTAATACCTAATGTATTACAGTTTGGAAGTAACTTGCACAACACTGTTAACGCGACAATAACGCATTAAAAATAGTGATGTCCGTTTCATTCTTTCCAATGAACCTGTTTTATTGGTTCACAAATATACACCAATCTTTCTTATTAGTGCTGACTAGTGCTGGTTGGAAGAAATAGCTATATGGTTCATTGATCAGTACTTTTTACATTTAACACAAAATAAGTACGTTTAAAATCTAGCACTTTTGTACTTTTATAGGCTAAAACTTTTTAAGTACTTTTACTCAATTACTTTATTCGTGACATTCGTCCACCACTGTCTTTTATAGCTCAGGAAAGATTTTTTTTTGTTCGTTTTTTAAGTAAAGTGTCGTAAGGCATTGTTGAAATCTCTACTGTAACTAACACAACAATAACACATTAACGGTTGAAAAATAGCAACGTTAAAGCAGGCTCTATACATGGATTTCTTGGCAACGTCATCACTGCTTGCACACGTTTCGTGGTTTCGTGTAGTAGCATAGTGATGGTGTCTGTAACGTAAACAAGCGTAACGTAACTTATATAAAAGCAAATTTTAGTAGATGCTGCACTGCTAACATTAATAACCTAACATAATTCATACATATATCAGACGGACAAGCAAATCCAACTAAAATCACATTTTATTGAGTCAGCAGTAACAAATAAAGAAGAGCTTCAATACTTGGAAAAAAAGGTTGTTGCAGTAGTGGACCAGCTCACCAATCTGGATATCCACATCTGATAATATTTGTAGGAAAGGAAACCCGTCTATTTGACTATATGAATTGCCTGTAGTTCAAGCCAGGTTGCCAGATCCATAGTTTTTCCCTACACTAAAGATTATTTAAAGCACGCCTCCCATCAAATAATCACAAAGAGCTTTGTGCTTTGTTACTTAAAAACAACAAGTAAACAAGACTTGTAAACAAGTCTCAGCTTTAAAATTCTGTCCATTTTATCATTTTATGTATGAACATCAGAAGGTATGTTAAAAGATACGGTACAAACAACTTATATCTCATATAATCGCTTAATCAGTTTTTCAACCATAGAAAGACGGCAATAATTTAATGTTGAATTTACCTCAGGAAAGTTATCCAATGCTCACAGTTCGTTAGTTAGCTATTAAAAAGACTAGAGAAGAGCTTATTTAAATCTACTGTGCAACCGAGTTGCATAGGCTACAAACATTTCAGTTTATTTATTTGAGATCAAGAAATCAACTCAACTCTGTAGAAAACATACATTTTTTTTTGTTTTTGTTAACATAATAACAGGGTTTGTATTGTTCAATTATTCTCTGATTTAGGCCATTCAGTGTGACCAGCAACACTCATGCTCTGGGATACAGCAGCAAGACAGACAAACAGAGCCGGCTGCAGAAACAAACCAATGGACGGGCATTTAACATTGTAGGGGGGGCCTAATTATGACATCCAAAAAATTTTTCTATAGAACAAAAACCAACTATTACGCCGATTTCAAGTACCAGGCGTAATTTGCGGCTGGGATATGTCCCCACCGTCGATATTGTACCCACCACTTTTGAAACATCCCGGCACGAATGTACCAAATAAACAAAACATCTTCAGTTAACTAGCAGAGCATTCGTTTCGTTCGTTTTTTAAATAAGAGACGATCTAGCGCTGAAATGTGTTTTTTAAATCAACTGTTCAAATGCTCGTTGCCGCTGGCTAATGTGTTTTTTTTTTTTCTGGCTTGCGCACAGTCACTCGGACGCGCAATCCGTTGTGGAGAGACTTTATTCATTACGGTGAAATTAAAACACAAAATGTTCTGAAGATGTTTTGTCTCTGCCTAATATACAACCACTGATAAACATAATCAGTTTTGATGAAAAAAAAAATGTTATTAGAACGGATTAGAACCCAGAACCTCTGGCACGCTTGGCAAAAGTTCTACCCCTGGACTATTATTTACATTCACGTTCAATATAAATATACAGGCGTAATTGAACGACCACATAAACCTAAATCAATAACTATTTAAATCGATTAAAGGATATCGTAATGTTATTGTACATATCTGTTTTATGATTTAGCATTGTGTCAGGGCTGGTGCAACTTAAGAAGAGTAATAAAAATAACTGGCCCACTCAATACAGCTGAAGTCGACGTTCTTGGGAGTGGAATCTCCGCATGAGTTATTCAATACATTATTTTTATTTTTAAAATAAATTTCTTTTTAAAATTTATTAAATGCAAATTGCATGGAGAGGGGGGCACAGGCGCTCGGTAGGCGGGCCCGGCCCCCTAAGGCCCGCCCATAGCGCCGGGTATGCAGACAAACAATTGTTGATCAATTTGGTTAGCCTCGGGATTCCACTATGTTTGAGTGGAATTACAAATGACAAATTCCTGTAAGCCTCGCAAAACCATGAGAACACATTTTAAACTTTTAAAGCTTTCAGAGTTCAAAGCCTGAGGGAATAATCAACCCTTATAGTACACTTATAAATCTGAGCAGCCTGTGATCTTCCTTAGGAAGCAGACCAGGCACATTTTACTTACTGCTGCAACTGTACTAACATCACATTACAAACAAAATTAACTTTTATTTGACTTGGGTCAGTAAGCAACCAGCTATCAACCACTCACAACACCCTATAACCATCCAGAACAGCAGCAACCACAGAAATGTGAGAAGAACGGGTCAGAACACCTTAGCAACTAATAGCCATGCCCTAGCAACCACTCAGCAACACCCATAGAAACCATCCAAACAATAGCAACCACTCAGAAAAGTGCTAACAACCACAGAGAACACCTTAGCATCAGCATAGCAATGCCCTAGACATCATCTGGAAATGTGATAGACAATCAGAATACCTTGACAACGGCATAGCAACGGCTAGGCACTTAGAAATAGGGTAACGACCCCTTGGAACCCATTAGTGCCAACAACCATCAGAACACCCTGGCAACTGCACAGCAACCGCCTATAAATATGATAAACACTTCGAACACCTTAGCAACCACCTAGTGGTAAACTCTCAGAATAACCTAACCATTTGCCAACATCCTAGAAAACACCTAAACTCTATCTACCATGCAATGTGATAACAACCTAACTCTGAGAAAAAAGAAAGGATATTTTTTTTTGTCTGTTTGTCTGTGATGTAAAACATCTCCTGTCTGTGTGTGTGTGTGTGTGTGTGTTGTGCGTGCAGCAGATTGGGAGTCCAGTCTGTTCACTGACGGTCTGACAGACTCTCACTGCACGAGAACTCAACCAACCCCTGTTTACCAGCTCACTGTGAAAGATCTGCTGCTCTCCAACATCGGAGAATCGGTGAGTACTGACAGAACATGAACAGAAGCCATTTTGTGTATGTGACTAAACAGTCCTGTTGTGACATTCAGTGTGACACATACAGTGTCGACAAGTGTTTGCAAAAAATTGGACAGTTGAAGACTGGAAAAATGTTGCCTGGTCTGATAAGTCTCGATTTCTGTTGAGACGTTCAGATGGTAGAGTCAGAATTTGGCGTAAACAGAATGAGAACATGGATCCATCATGCCTTGTTACCACTGTGCAGGCTGGTGGTGGTGGTGTAATGGTTTCTTGGCACACTTTAGGCCCCTTAGTGCCAATTGGGCATCGTTTAAATGACACGGCCTACCTGAGCATTGTTTCTGACCATGTCCATCCCTTTATGGCCACCATGTCCCCATCCTCTGATGGCTACTTCCAGCAGGATAATGCACCATGTCACAAAACTCAAATCATTTCAAATTGGTTTCAGTTCACTGTAGGGTTGGGTATCGTTTGAATTTGAACGATTCTGATTCCGATTCCGATTCCTTGTTTCGATTCCGGTTCCTAACGATTCTTGATTCCGATTCTTTTAAGAGGCAGGGTCAAAAAAGTTTAGCTAACCTTGCTAACCAACGGCCTTTCTGAAGGAAATACTCTTTCTGTAAAAATACTCCTTTGTCACAAATTTAGCATTTTGCCGAGATTTCGTTATTTTTAGAAAAGTGAAGCCACACTTTGGATCGCCGACGTAAGCTACTCGTGTTCGACTCGCGTGGTTATGCCAACACTTCCGGTAGACGCTTCTTCGTTGGTGTTGTTCAGCGGTTTCTTCTTCCGCTCGCCGGACTGTGAATATCGAAACTAGGAATCGAAATTTGAACTTTTGAACGATTCCGGGAAAAACGAAAAGTTAGTCTCGGTTCCAATCGATACTCGATTCTCGAAACCCAACCCTAGTTGACTGTACTAAAATGGTCCCCACAGTCACCAGATCTCAACCCAATAGAGCATCTTTGGGATGTGGTGGAACGGGAGCTTCGTGCCCTGGATGTGCATCCCACAAATCTCCATCAACTGCAAGATGCTATCCTATCAATATGGGCCAACATTTCTAAAGAATGCTTTCAGCACCTTGTTGAATCAATGCCACGGAGAATTAAGGCAGTTCTGAAGGCGAAAGGGGGTCAAACACAGTATTAGTATGGTGTTCCTAATAATCCTTTAGGTGAGTGTATACGTATATACTGTATATACACACACACCTGAAAAGGTTTACCCATTCCGGAAGCCAAAAACCCAGATATGTGAAATTGGCCTATGGTGGGGAAGCGTTGTCTCATAAATTACGGAAAATTCGGTCAATGGCAGGGAAAGAGTGCATTATCTAACAATGACCCCTTAGAAAGCAGCAGCCTGCGTAAACAGGCTTTGAACAGATAAAAGCATGTTGAGGGGCAAAGTATCCAATCAAACATAGCGTAAACAGCTCGTCCTGTGGCATACAGGTAATGACTTTGACCTGTAAACATTACTGGGTAACATAAAGCATAATATATAAAAGACATAAAGCATAATAGAGAGCTGTAATTGCTTTACTCAGTTCTGTACCTCCACAGATGCTGTTTCAGTGTTTAGGTTGATGTGGCATTGCGTCTGATTTCATGATGATAGATAAAATCAAACAGATGAACAAATGTATCTGCTGCATGTCTGTTGTCATAATGCATTGTATTACTTGAGAATGAAAAGGCAGGAACAGGGTTATTTTTGCAGCTGACCTTATTGCATTTGTAGGAGTTTATGGGAGGTGAATATATAAATGAATCATGCAAGGTTTGCGCTTGTCAATTTAGTGGTGTTTACGCCATTATTTTACGCCTGGTAATACCAAACTCTGCTATAACATTGGTTACCCGTAAGCCAACTTAAACATCACCTCCGTTCATAATGTTTAACAAACACTCGTCTTGTTCGGGCTTCGGTTTGCAAATGCCGGGAATATTCTCCACAACAGAGCGAATTGCATCCCGGATCTCCATATCCGCGGTCGTTTTCGTTTTCCCCAATCTAAGATGAAATCCTAAACTCAGTGCTTAGCGTCTACACTCTTAGAAGAAAAGGTTCTATATAGAACCTTAAAAGGTTCTATCAGCGCTACGTATTTGAAACCCCTAAAAGGTTCTATACACTCTTAAAAAAGGGTTCCTCTGGGTTCTATATAGATTATAGAACACTGGGGTTCCATACTTGGCCAATAGAACCTTTTACAAAAAAAAATTGTTCTATATAGAACCTTAAAAGGTTCTATCAGCGCTATGTATTTGAAACCCCTAAAAGGTTCTATACACTCTTAAAAAAGGGTTCCTCTGGGTTCTATATAGATTGTAGAACCCTGGGGTTCTATACTTGGCCAATAGAACCTTTTACCAAAAAAAAAAATTGTTCTATATAGAACCTTAAAAGGTTCTATCAGCGCTACATATTTGGAACCCCTAAAAGGTTCTATACACTCTTAAAAAAGGGGTTCCTCTGGGTTCTATATAGATTATAGAACCGTGAGGTTCCATACTTGGCCAATAGAACCTTTTACCAAAAAAAAGTGGTTCTATATAGAACCATTTTGGAGTTCCATATATGAAGCGGGGGATGGAACCATTTCTGGTTTTAAATAGAACCATTTCTTCTAAGAGTGTGTGTCACGGCTCTCAGCCCGCCCTCTGTTCGTTGATTGGCCGGCTGTTTTCAGGCCGGAGGAAAACTGAGATAGGTCGCTATATCAGACTGAGTACAGAAGCAAACTGAAATTGAGCGGAAGTACGAAGTCTGACGCCAGGCTATCGTTAATTACCGCCCCCAAAAAGCATGTCTTAAATTAGACGCTGATTTGTGCATTGTTTTGGTCATTATAGAAATGATCCGGTTGTGTCAAGCTAATTTGCCCTGTTTAGTAAATCTGGCCCAAAGTAAAGTGTCTTTAATCCTAATCAAAACATATGAATGAAATGAAATGTGTGTTTCTGTGTCTAGACAAAACCCTCCGACCAGCAATCCCAGCAAGAACTGATGCTCAATGAAGATGAGAAGAAACTTTTAGCCAAGGAAGGAGTCAATCTTCCCAGCCAACTGCCTCTAAACAAGGTGCGTTGAACACACCTGAATTAGATCAAGGTCACATGGCCACATGTAGCCTAATAATCTATCCATGTCATTGCTCCATGTCTCTATATTTACTGCTGGAAGCCAGATCAGACATCAGCAGGGAAGAAAGAGGCTTTTATAGAGGCTGAGATGAAGGAAATCAGTGATGAAAGGCAAAGGCAGCTCTCATCGTAATAACACATTTCGGCCGCGAAGGTTTTTCCCTCGGTGTATACGATAATGAAAATGACATGATTAAGCTGATTTGATTCAACTCACATGCCGCATACTTCAGACCTAAAATCTGGATCAAAATAAATCTTTGAAATGCAGACACTTGATTTCCTCTTAACATTTTGCCTGGCTTGTTCTCTCATGTTTTTATTAGTACGAAGAAAAGATTCTGAAGAAGATTCGAAGGAAAATCCGGAACAAGCAGTCGGCACAGGAGAGCCGCAAGAAAAAGAAAGAATATATAGATGGACTGGAGGGCAGGTAAACACAAACAGAGACTGACACACACACACGTTGGGTTTTCCATGTTTTCCCATGCATAATATGATGACATACACTCTAAACAATGCTGGGTTGTTTTAACCCAAATTTGGGTCAAATATGGACAAACCCAAATGTTGGGTTAAAAATGTCATTTAAAACTTTAACCCAACTTTCACTTTCAACTGTGATTTTTTAATGACATTTTTAACCCAACATTTGGGTTTGTCCATATTTGACCCAAATTTGGGTTGAAACAACCCAGCATTTTTTAGAGTGTATGATGACATTTTATACTGTATATTCAATCCCCTAACTTTCTACATTTTTACATACAAAAACAACATTGATTTAGCGCTGCTTTCCCCATGGGGACCAAAAAGTATTCACTTATGGGAACATTTTGTCCCCATAGGGAATAAATTCAGCTTACTCCTTTTTATTTTTTTTTATTTTTTATTTTTACTTGCGTACACTCTATTCTGGGAGCATGCTGGAAAATGCTGGGTTGTTTTAATCCAATTTGGGGTCAAATATGGACAAATTCAAACATTGGGTCCATATTTGACCCAAAATTGGGTGAAAACAACCCAGCATTTTTTAGAGTGTATGTCTAATGAGAAAGCATAATTTGATACACTACAGTTCAAAAGTTTGGGGTCAATGTTTTTATATATATATATATATATATATATATATATATTCAGGAAAGACATGCTAAATTAAAGTGACAGCCCAATATTTTACTTTGTTACATGTAAGCCTGTGTCCTTTTTTTACATTGATCACAAGAATAAATTGCATTTGAAAATATATTCAAAAAGAAGTTATTTAAATTTTCAAACTTTTGAAAGGTAGTGTTACACATTGTGAACAACAGTGGCAACTTCACCTCAGATGTCCTGTTTGTGGTACAACTACAAGTCGTCTCAATGAATGAATATGACATCAAAGAAAAACTCATTACGAAGAAAACTTGCAGTGGAGTTGAAATTGAGGTTGAAAATCATTAAAAACCCAGGCTCGAACATATCTTAACTTGGGATCAAAGCAATCGAATATCCTCAGAGAGCCTGGAGAAATTATTTAGAACACACTGCGGCACAGATTTCAGGCATGAAATTGGCCTTTAAGGAAGAGCTCGTGGGTTTATCTGTCCACAGGACAAACTCATTTCACAGCAGGGGCAGCAGGCATCAAAAGCACCACTGCCATCTCACCAAGTCTTGTGAACTTACACACCGTCTACAGACACCTGTGGGATTGTACTGTCCAAGAAGAAATCAGATTTTGTCAATAAACATAAAATTATAAGATAAAACACAAGTGAAATATATTAGCATTTTCTTAATTGGATTTTAATTGCAAAGAATATATACGTATATATATATATATATATATATATATATATATATATATATATTAGGGCTGTGCAAAGATTAATTGCAATTACAGTTTTTTTCGATTGCTAAACGACAGTGAGCACGACTGGAGCTAAATGTGCAAAACTCTAACTACAGTCTGCATTACCAACAGTCACCTGAGCACAACTCTTAACACACGGCTCAAAACAGGCTCAGTGTGCACAACACTACGCACAACCCTTACTGAGATAACACACACTGTCACTCAGAACACACTGAGAGGAAAAACACTAGCATCAAACACCAATGCAGAAAATACAAACTTTTCATCTTTACAGTTTCAACTATTTCACACTTCATACAAAGTAATATTTTCTTCAACGAAAACAGTGACAATCTTTTATTTGATATTTTTACATTTTTAGAACATAACAATTGAAAATTAGCAGTTTGCTTCAATAGTCTTTAGTAATTTACAGAATTACAGTAATGAGAA